GAACATGCCCTAAATCAATCTTTTGATGATTTGATTAGGTACGTGAATAGTATTGATTTGATGTCCAAATGAAGATAATTTGTTAGTAAAAATTGAAAAGGGTAATTTAGCCCCTGTTGGACAATTCTTATAATGAGAAATTTGGGTAAAATATATTTTAGAATAGTATTTTGTGGAAGAATGTGTGGTTAAAATAGAAGATACTTTTTTTGATTTATGTGTAATATTATTTTGTTAAAAAATATGTTGCTGAAAAGAAGAGAAAAAATGTATTAAAATTTTAATCAGAATTAAATGTGGGCTTAAACCCCCGTTTGGCCCCCATTATTTCAAATTTTAATGTATGGAATAATATTTTTTTTGGAGAGTGGGTGGATGAAAGAGAAGAAAATTTTTTCGATTTATGTGTAATATTATTTTATGGAAGATTGTGTGGTTGAAAATAAGAGAGAAAAAATAAAAATTAAATTAATGGGGGCCAAATGGGGGCAAAATTGAAAAGCTATATTTATCTATTGGTGGATGTTACAAATGTCATCCGACATTCCGACTTATTAAAACTTACATTAGATCCTTGTTGAGCCTGGGTTTTCAGATCAATCACGTAGCACAACTCTCGAGAGAAAGGTCACTAGGAAAAGTTATCCTTGAGATTTCATTCCAAATCTTTTTTTTTTTTTTTTTTTTGGCTGTGCGAGATCATGGGGTTAAATCAACTAAATAATATTTTTGTTGATTGTATATAGATAGAGATACTAATTTTAATCATAGATATTGAATGGAGTAACCGTTGTTTTTATTATTTTAAGCTATAAAATTAATGAAGTCTGAATATTCAGGAGTCGAGACCATTCTAATGTCCCCTTTCGCCATGCATAAACTAAACCAACAATTAAGATAAACACGAAAATTAAAACTTCTATAAATACAGATACACCCAATATATCGAAACTCATTGCCCATGGATAAAAAAAAAAATCGTTTCAACATCAAAAACAAAAATGAGAGCAAACATATAATGACGGATTCGAAATTGTAACCTAGCATCGTCCATTGGTTCTATACTCAACTTGTCCAACTTGACTGCATTTATCAAATACTCGCTCTAAATTTGTTATATTTCAATATTATTAATAAAGATATAAATGACACTTCAACGATAGTTGGTCAAATAGTAAAAATAAAAAATTAGGTCAAATTTGAAGAAAACTTCTCACGAGATTTTATGTGCCAAACATGCTCTAAACTTACCGACACTTAATCTAATTGATGTATCCCAAGTAAATAATCTTAATTGTGACATAAGTAATAAATAATAACATAAGAATCGTAAAATAAAAAAAGGGCCTATTTTGGTTTTATTAAAAAATCGATTTTAGTAAATTTTGATAAAAATTAATAAAATATTCGACTGAAAATTAATAAAAGTTTAGAGTCTCTTAAAATATATATGTGATTAAAATTAATTATTGTCTTCAATATAATTTTTTATTAATATTTTAATTAAATCAAACATAATTTAAAATCATTCCTTTCAATGTCCACTTCAGATTACATTACGTCTTGTATGTCAATCACTATTGGATACCTAATGATTTTGTTTTTCCAACACAATTATGAAGTTTCAATCTTGTCAATATAATTTTGGACCTATCTTTACATTCACTAAAACCTAATTTGCAACGTGGATGCAAGGGATTGGTCAACTTTTTTTCGAAACATTAATCATGAACCATCAAAACTCAAATTCAAAATAATCAAATCTCAACTTTAAAGTTACTTTTAATATAAATTGACTAATCTCTCGAATTGGAAATCAATTAATTAACAATCATAAAAAACACGAGGTATATATGTTTAACTTTTGATTTTGAATAGTTTTTTTTATAAAATATTACATGAATTTAAAGAAAAACTTGTAACACTTTTTCATATATTTTAATTTAAAAAGGGAAAAAAATAAATTCTTTAAGGCTTTTCGATTAATCAAAAAGAAAAAAAAAATCCTAATTAAAATGGTTAATGTACTCTTATTAAAAAGCCATTCTTTGATTCGTCAAATATTCACCATTACTTATTCCCTCCAATTGTCCCAACATTACACATTCACTCCGGCTACGATCGTCTCCTCTCCCATCTCATCATGTACTTCACAACTAAAAAAAGGTTGAACCACAACCTTGAAAGCTCCCACCACCCCATCCATAGAGTATAGTGAGGGAGGTAAGTCGCGGAATGTATCCCAACAAATTAGGGAACAAGAGTTTGCCCGTACACTTGTAACCACAAAGAGTCTAATTCCATATCTCAGGAATCGAACCCTCACGTTGCGACTGTCAGTAAGGCTGAGACTATCTCACTCTTATCCTTTACACCACTGAATTATGACCCGAGGGGCATGTACTTCACAACTATCCTATAAGAAAGGCGGGGTTGGAGTTGTGATGAACAAGTGTAAATGAAATTATTTGAAAAATAAAACTCTTCTTTTATATGTGTGTGTGTATCTCAAGTTAGGTACGATAACCATGATTTATAATGCGGACAAAGAAAATAAAGAAAAAGCACCTAAAAGAGGAAAGGAAAAGGCATGTCACAAGATAGGAACTAGGAAGGTAAAATGAGTACAACATGTTCGGCCGGACGTTGATAAAGCATTCATTTTCTCACACATTCTCTTTCCATCTCTCTCTAGCTTTATCTTTCGCCTTTGCTTCTCCTCAACGTTCGGTAGCCAGACTTCATTAATTATATTATTCATTAGTTAGTCCCCACTAAAATAAATTTCAAATAGCAAACATGTCCCCATATCTATGAAAATTTTAATTAATTCTCATTTACACTCAACATTTTTGGTATCTTAATCTATTAATAGTCAATTTGGCACGATTTCTACCTTTGTATTTGCTTCTTATAGAATAACTTACCGAGAAAATTATCTTAGATCAATTTTCCCTAAAAACTCTTATAAACCAGATAAAACACTTTTCGAAAAATTGTGCAAACAAGTTCAAGAACTTATTAATTTCAGAAATAACATTTGATTTTTCAAAGTCTTACCAAACATTCGACGATAGAGCGTGTTTACTTTTTCTTTTTGACATTGAATAATTTAAGTTGCTTTCTATTTTTTAAAATGATTATTAGAGAACCAAAGGTAACGATTTCTTTTTTACATTTTTCCCTCAAGTATCATCTTTTTGTTATGCTCCAAGTTGGAATTTCTTGTATAGTGACATGCCATAAAACATTGGAGCATACTATCAAGGTTGTCAAACTTCAAAAAGGTTTACTAAGCTTACAAAGGAGCATACTATCAAGGTTGTCAAACTTCAAAAAGGTTTACTAAGCTTACAAAGTTAAGTAAACAAATTAGCTCTAAAATAGTTACTTTTATCAACAAAAGTTTAGGGTCACAATTAAGATCAAAACAACCATAAAAGAATTGAATCAAAATCGACATGTCTCCATCTAACTGAGTTAATGTGTTCATCATTTTCAGTTCGACTACTCATAAAGACTCTTGATATTTGCTCGGTGTTAAATTATTCTTAATTTTATACTAAATTAATAATTTGGTACACCGGTCAGTTCGATTTTTAATTTATGATATATTCCAAATTTGACCCTATTTTTACACAGAGTAATACAAATAATAAGCAATTGTGTTCAACACTCATCCAAGTTGTAGAGGAGTCCACACTTATAATTGGTGATCATAAAACATACAAATTGATAACTAATTGTGGAGTGGAGTGGACTGCCATAATGTTTACAAGCGATGAATAACAAACATTATTCGTTTTACACGATCCATTTGAAGGCACAATCATAGGAGTAAACTGACTTGGCTAACAAATTTCTAATTAATATATCAATATTGTCACAATTATCTTGACCGGTGCTAAGATTAACGGTGATTTTAAATATTAAAGTATTTTCAATAGACTCTGTATTTTAAAGAGTATATTTTACAATTTAGGAACTGAAAAATTTAAGTACTCTAACATGCTTTTTATATTTGACATTTAAATTTACTACTCCCACAAAATACTTATTATTTTTTATTGCTTTTATTTTCATTAACTTCGTTTCTAATTATTATATGATTTTTCTTCATTGAAAATTAAAATATTTTAAATGCATTTAATAATAGATAGTGGCTTTGGTTCTCTAAAGTTAAAGAGTTAAAATTCACTGTTTATTTTAAAAATGTTAATTTTTAGATTTCAGGACTTTAAAATAAATAACATCTTATGTTTAAAACAATAATCTAAAAGGCATGTCAAGGCTCCGAACGAAATGTCATGCTTTAACGGTAAGCACAAAATTAAGTGGTTAACTTGCAAAGTTGATTGTTTAATGTGCGATTAGGCGCGTTCTATTAATTTTATTAATTTTTTTATTTTCAAAAATCTTCTATTTGACTTTATTAACTTAAATTCATTATCAACTTTTTAAATGACTTTATCTATACAAAAATAAAAAAGACTCCGATAAAGAATTAGATAAGATTTAAATTACGATACTATCTACATTATGTAATTATGAATTCGAGACTTATCTTTTCATTGAAAACTTTGAAAAATATGTATGAAGTTCCTATAAATTTATTAAATAGGATTTATCTAGTTTAAAACTTAAAATTATGAAAAATAGTTTAACTCTTGCATTTCGAAAACTTGAAAAATTATATAATTGACTAATTATATGAATTATTAAATAAATATATATTTCTTAATTTTAGACATTTGGTATATATTATTTTTAGTCGCTAAATAATTTTTAGAATGTTTAAAAATTTAAAATAATATTAAATATAAGAAAACTCATGGAATTTGAAGTTTCGCCTCCACGCCTAATTATACTTTACGTTTTTTAGAATACTAATTTAAAGAGCTCTTATTAAAATTTAAATTGCTAAAAATCAAAAAATATATAAATATAAACTTTACGTCCATTCGTAAAGGCAAAGCATTTGAACTGTAGTCACTAGTCAGTGGTGATTTATTCTTTATTCAAATTCAGCATCAACAACACTTGTCAATGATTCCTCCCAGTTGTCTCCACAACATCTAGAGAGAGGAACAAATACTCTTCCTTTTCCCCCATACACCTGTACATACAATTCTAGAGAGAGAAACTAAGCACCGCAAGAACAGATGCTGTGGTGGAAATGGGGAAAGTCGATAATCAACGACTACCAGTTGTTCAGCAGCAACGGCGGCAACAGTCTCAGAACCCCATTTCTAGAACCTTCTTCGGCCGTAGATGTTCGGTGGTCCTTTCTAGAATCTTCCAAGAGTTTAATTTCAAATGTTTTCTGGTTTTGATAGTTAGCGTAGCGATTTTTCTTTCCGCCGTGTTTTGGGTTCTTCCTCTTCGCAATGGAAAAATTGGGTTTGAAGCTAAAAACTCCATCAAGCTCAGTGGTAATTATTATTGATCTGCTTGATTATCATTTTTTATTTTAAGTTTGGAATTTGTGTAGGGGGATTTACTGTTATTTTGTAATTAAGGTTCTTTGTTTAGTTTTTTTGGTCCAGTGCTTTTAACTTAGGGTTTTCTGATGATATGGAATATTATTAAATTTTTTGTTATTACTACTATGATTTGTGTTTGGGGTTTAAGCGGTAATTGAAGGATTTTATGTTTGTTTTTCCTTCTTCTTTTTTCCTCCTCCCGTCAATAGCTTGTGGACACATCAGTTGTCAAGAAAAAAAATAAAAATCTCTGGTCTTGATTTACAATGGATATATTTGAATCATATGTAATTATCTCCTTGACCATTTTGAATATTTTGAGTAATTTTCATTTCAGCCATGAATTAAAACTTGTATATGTTTCAAATCTTCCTAGACAATTTTTCTAACGAACATTTAATAATTCACTCATCTTTTTATATTTAGCATGATAAAATGTCAAAATTACGGAAGTTCCAGGAAAGTAAGTTGGTATTTGGTAGGTTAATATGTTTGCTGAGCAACTCTGAATGTAATCGTGTACGATTAGAGGTAACTATTTCAACTTGATATATGCATTTTTTGTATTTACCCAAATATTGTACAAAACCATGGGTTTTTTTCGTTGAAAGTTGAAACATTATGGTAATAATAATGAACAGAAGATCTACTTCTTGATACACAGTTTGAATAAATCAGCATAAATTGTGGTAGATTAGTTATGTGATTTTTGGGGACTTAATCTGCTTCCATCTACACATCAAGGTCATATGGAAATCCAAGATGCTGGACAACGCCTTTAAAATTTGATTCCAGGAAGTACTGAACAATGAATACTATGTACACTTGAGTGTATTATTTAAGCCCATGGCAATGTACTGATCTGCTATTCTCAAAACTTCGTGTCAGTGTTACCAACGAGCTTCAATTTCTTGTGGTGAGATTGAAAACAATTACCAGAGTTATGCTTGCATTATCAGTATCTCGTTGTAAGTCTATTAGGTGTCAAGTTTGAGTTAGAGACTGATAGATAAATTTTCTTGCTTATGAAGTTGAGCTTTGTTCTTGGAATAACATTATTCTTGTAGTTGTATAAGATTTAAGAGGGTTTCATATGGATTTCTCTTTGTTTTATTTGAAGTTTCCCTGGGTAACCACCTCTCATCTGCAAAGATGAAATTGACTCCCATTTGTAAGCTTATACCCTGCCCATGTAGGATAACCTATGTATTTATATTGCCAAGCCCTGACAATAAACACAAGCAGCATAATTTTGTATTGATTACTTCTGTCCGAGATTCCCTTAGCATGATTTGGACAGAGCTTAGACACGGGAGATATTATAGCCTCATCATTTAGCAGTTTCTTTCTTTTCACTTCCATTATTCAATACTAATTTTCCTCAAGTGGCAGAAATGTGGATAAAAATGATTAAGCATCATCTTTATGCCTTTTTCCTTAAAACTTAACAAGGCTTTTATTTCCAAACTGGTCGCAGGGAAGCAAATTAAATATAAAGATTATAATATGTAGCTTACAGGGTGCTGCTTTGATTTTCCATATACGTGCTTGGTCCTTCTTAGTCAGTTTTTTGGTTTTTATTTCAGCCACTGTTCAAGCATACTTCACACTATGCAGACCAGTTTCAGAGCTTGTTCCATACATTTCAAGACTAGAATATGATATCAATGAAGAGATTGGTGTCCTTTCCTCGAAGGTCTGTTTCAAGTATTACATTCTACAGGTTATTTGCATTGAGTATTTGACGAAGAGTTTGAAGTGATCTGTCAATATTTCACAGGTGGTTGTTCTATCCATGCATCAGGCGACTGTATCAAACTGGACTAACGTGGTGTTTGGCTTCCTTTCCGATCCAATGAATACTTCAATTAATCCTGTGTCATTGAGTGTGCTAAAGTTATCCTTAATTGAGCTGTTTCTTCAACAATGCAATCTAACACTGACCACCCCAATTTTTGGAAAGCCATCTTCATTTGAGATTTTGAAATTTCCGCATGGAATCACCATGGTCCCTGAGCGATCTGTTCCGATTATGCAGATACCTCAGGTCCTCTTTAACTTCACTCTCAATAGCTCGATTTTTGAAATAAAGGAAAATCTTCTTGAACTGAAGGAACAGCTTAAATTGGGATTGCATCTGAGGCCCGAAGAGGTATATTTATATTTATGTTGGACTTCCTCTACATTTTAGTTGGTACGAATGGTCAAGTCTTTGTAAAATACTAGTTATGTAGCTGAGAGATTTGACATTAACAGTTATTTTCAACCATGCTTTGGCAGCTATCACGACCTGCTGTATTTCATTTTTACTTATAATTAATAAACTAGAGCAGCCCCAACCTGATGGACTGTAAAATATGTCTTCCGAATTCAGAAATGTTATCATTCTGAGAGATTTATCTTGATGGATTCACACTACCTGGTGCTTTCTAAGTTGCAGAGGGATCTTAGATAAGGTTTTTATTACATTTCTTATATGTTTTTAAAAAATTCAAATTCTCAATTTTGATTTGCGCCTTACCAAATATATCCATTTTCAAATTTTCCCATGGAATGCTAACAACTGTCAAATTTGTGTTTCATCTTGCTATATCTATTAACATGTCATGTAGAATGTATATATCCTTAATAAAAAATTTCCAAATGCAGAATGTGTATATTCAGGTGACAAACAAGATTGGCTCGACAAAAGATCCTCCAGTTACTGTTCAAGCTTCAGTGGTACCAGATCTAGGGAGCCTACAACCTGAGAGATTGAAACAATTGGCTGAAACAATTAGTGGTTCTGATCCCTCAATGAATCTTGGCCTTGATCATACTGTCTTCGGCAAAGTCAAGGAAATCAGCCTTTCTGCCTTTCTAAACCATTCCCTTTGTGCACCAACTCCAACTCCAACTCCAACTCCAGCTCCATCTCTATCTCCAGAGCAAAGTTACAATGCGGTGCCAACTCTGTCTCCATCTTATTCTCCAGCTTTCCCACCGAACATTCGTCTGTCACCACCACCCTGCCCTAAATGTTATGCCTCTGCACCATCTGATCCAAGCCAGACTTCTGCCCCTAGACCACAAATTGACCGATACCATTTGTTATCTCCCATTTCCAATTCTCCTGCACCTGCGTTAGCAGCCACGGATCCACCAAGCCCTTCAACATCTCACTCTAATCAAATGATTCCATATTTATCACCTCGTGCTGCTGTTCAGCCACCCCTCAGAGGTCCCACACAACAGATTTATACAAGCCTTTCTTTGCCTCCAAGCAAAGCTTTTGATGATGGTCAGGAGGAAACGATTAGGACAGGTTTGGTATCTCCTCCACATGATTTGCTGCATTCCTCATCATGTAAGTTTTCTACACATAATGTGATATATTTCACACTTCTTTAATGTTGGAAACTAGTTGATCAGCTCTCCTTATCTATAATATGATTTGGATAGACTTTTATGTTCCTCTATTTGCATTTCTGTAATCATATATAGTTTAGTAATTTGTTTTGATCTGGTTGCGTGAGTTGCTCATTGCAAATCAATTGAACAGTATAAAAAAGGGGACTGAGAAATGGATTTTTCTTCTAAACACTTCTATTGGGGCGTCTCTTTATATTGGAATTCCATCAAAAGAATAGAAGGGATCAAGGGAATTGGTAAATGCTACTAGCAACCTGAGCAGGCTTGACGCATGCGCATAATATTTCGAGAGATGAAATGTTGTCTGCTTAAACTGTAGGAACTTTGGGTTTTATGTGGCATATAATAGAGCATTAATATCCTTTTTTCATTTCATATGCTTTCAAATGAGGAATTGAAAGACGGAAAATGTTGTAGCAATTGTAATCCCTTGAAAAGGAGAAAGTGAATGTGAATACTATTGGGAAAAAGGAGTGAAGAGTAGGATTAGTTTTACTTCTTTTGTAGTTGCCATTTAACAGGTAGGAACAATTAGTTGGCAAAAGATTACTTACACAAAGCAAAGACACTATGCCATAAGTGTTGATGCTCCTATCCATATAGGTGATGCATTTTATCTCCATGAAGCCAAAGAGGGGAAATTGAGAAACTATTTATCCTGTTCCACAGTCCCTAAAATTTTTATAGAAGTTTCAATTTAGTCCATGGTATTCCAATTTCGATACATCAGTCTGTAAGAGTTTAGACAACATTGCTATTAAACTGCACCTCCTCTTTACTTTTCAACAAGAGGGAAAGATATCAGTCTCAAGCAAACCTAGTTTCTTTAGTCCTTGCTAACATGCGAATTTTTTACCTTCCTTTTATTGTTTCTTCTCTCTTATGTCTACAATTAATGTTTTTTTCTTTATTTTTTTATATTATATTTACTGAGTCTGAAGATTTTTGATCATCTCATCTCACATGGGTGTATATTTTTGTCTGCACTTGATTAGCATAGTAACAGACTGCGTTCCTTTGCAGCTTTTGCGGTAGGCTCTTTGTGCAGGAGGATCCAGTGGTTTCACTTATTTGGAATGATCACATTCTCTCTTCTCTTTTGGATATCGTGAGATGTCTTTTGCACATAATCCGCACATGTTTGATAGCTGCTCACAGTTTTGCCAGTTGAGGAGTCGAGTGGGTATGATAAGCACACAAGTGTACATGAAGTAGGAAAGTTGCAGGTCGAAACCAAAAGGTGGAAGGCCTAATATTGCATGATATCCTATGGGATGTGTCTTCCCAAAGGGAATGACTTCTCAATACAACTGACCATCCAATAGTGCTTCCTTGCAGTTTTCAGAAAAAAATCAAATGTAAGACTTGCGGGTTCTTTCTGAACGTTTGCAAGGAGGATAATCTATACATGTTAACAAAGAGATTTAACTCGTGGAAATATGTTTAGTTTTCATAAAGAAGAATTACAATATGCAGTATTTTGGTCTTGGATAATCTACTAATGCTCCTTCATGCCGGCTCCCATGCCAAACACTCAAGCAACACTATCTGATTTCTTGCAGATTCTTCCCCAACTAAAGTACGGAAAATTGTTCTCCGAACTTTAATATCTATTTTCTTAGGAAGTTTTTAGAGTAATGTTATTTATCGTTTAGATGACATTGAAGGATAGGTTCATCAACATGGATTGAATGTCTCTGCATTTAATATTGACTATATATTAAAGAATTGGACTGAATTACTACACTTTTCATTAGGGGTGGGCGCGGGTCGATTCGGTTCGGTTCTAAAGAGAATCGAACCGAACCGAACTTTTCGGGTATCTAGTAAGTGGAATCGTCAGGTCTAAATATAATTATGGAATCGTTCGGGTTTGGTTCCATTCGGTTCTGTACTATAATTAAATTTTTTGACATTTATAACAATATTATATAAATACAACTAATGATATATTTAATGGTTTTGGAATGTCAGAGACTAGTAAACTACCTTGTTCAAATGATCGCTACGATCAAAGTTTCGGTTGGCGAAGGTCACAGTTTCGATCGGAGGTCACAGTGTCGATCGATAATTGTATAGGTTTTGGAATATTAGAGAGGCTGCGAGAGTTGAGACAACGTTATGTACTTTGTGTTGGTGTTTAGGGTTATTTAGTGGATTTGATCTTGCTTGGCTAAGAAATGAAACAATAAAATGGATAACTGGGTCAAAAATTAAAAAATTAGAAATGAAACAAATTATTGGGCCAAAATTTTGGATTTAGAAATCGTTAATTTGTTTAGAAAAAATTAAAATAATTTGATTTACTCAATATAAAAAAAAAATTAGAAAGATTCGGTTCTTCGATTCTAGGTTTAGAACCGAGAATCGAACCGTACCCGTCGATTCTCAATTCAGATACCCGTTCAGGTATTTAATTTGATAATAACTGTCGGGTTCGGTTCGGTCGGTTCGGTTCGGGAGATTTGCCCAGCCCTACTTTTCACCTCCTCTAATGATGAAGCGTAATGCTCCTTTGTTGAGTCGTGCCATTAAATTGTTGTTCCAATAGAATTGGGCCAAGTGGTGCGTTGTATTTGATGATGAAACCATTTTTGTCATTTTACCTTTTCTTTTTGTCTCTTCTTATATTTTTTTATTACCTATTTGGAGACCGACTTTTGAGTAGGATTGTCAATGGATCAGATATGGATTGGATCTGTTTAAATCAGATCTGATCCGTTAAAAATAATTATCCAATTCGATTCGATAATCTGATGGATATTTGAATGTTAAATTCAAATTCGATTAGCCATGCTATCGAATATTTGATCCGAAATTGAAAAAATTAGAAAAATAATTTATTTATTTATAAAAAATCATAGTCTCAATAAGATTTTAATTAATTAATTATTTTAAAAAATATTTGAACTATTTTAATGGACTCACTTATTATATTAGAAGGTTCAAATCAATTTTTCTATCCAAATGATGCTCTCTTGGGTTGTTTTAGAGATATCTAATGTGGGATACTAGTTTTTTAAAAGATTCTTCTCTTTTAATGATTTAGTGATATTTTAATGTGAGATACTATTCATAATCATTTGTCAATTCTAAGTGTTTACTAGCTTACTTTATTATTGTCATTAAAAATTATAGCTTCAACAAGATTTTAATTATAAACAATATCAATTTGAACAAAGGAAATTATTATTGACATGTTAATTGTTAGTTTTTTATGTTATAAAACAAATTACCATAGTAAATCTAATCAATATATTAATTATTAGTTTTATCTTATTTTAAAAAATAAAAAAAATTAAATATCTTCAAAATGTTCAATTAAAAATATTATACTATTATACAATACTATTTATTATTTAAAAATTACATGTAAAGTATAATACAATTTTCAAAATGGAAAAAACAATATCATAAATTATGCGATAATATAAAAAATATAATATATTATTATAATAAATCGGATTGGATTGACGTATATCCATATTTGATTCGTTTAGCTAACCAATTATCGGATTCGGATCTCAATCGGGTTATCAGATTGAGATCATAAATCCATCTCTCATTAATTTCATCGGATTCAGATCAAAATCCAATCCATTGACGGTCCTACTTCTGGGTCACTAGTGTCCTCTTTCTCTCTTAAAACTTCTGTTGCACGGTGGGGAATTCCCTTGAAAAATGGATTCATGATTTGTTTATGTTTCTTGGTTTGATTCAACATGAGTGGGCAAGCAAATAAATCCATCACTACTAGCTCCACGTCTAATTTTGTGCCAATTGAATTAAATTTTTAAGAGTAATCCTACTCATAGTCGTTCATTGCAGTAATTGTTCTATGTGGTATCTTACATGACGATTTGTGATTTGATGTAAAAAATGTGATGGTTTTTTCTTGTTACATATATCAAATCATTAACTGTCATATGTGTGCTACGTAAGACGACTGCGATAGTGAGTGACTGCAAATAGCATGACATGAGGTTTTATAAATCTTTAAGAGTTTTGATACTAGTTAGAATAAACGCCTAACAATTTCACTCCAAAATTTTGACTTTAAAATTAACATCTATCAATCTTTTTGGGAGCATTTCTTGAGATCAACAATTTGATAAACAAGGTGATGATCCTTTTTTATGATGCGGGAAGGTTCAATTGACAAAGTCAATAATGAACTCAATCATAATCAATGAAGACAAAATTTAATAAAGCATAATCAACGAAGACAAGATGTCATTTTTAATTGTGCTAATTGAACTTTGTTCTCTTTTTCGTCCTTTTCATTATCTATATACTGATTGATTAGATAAGATAAACTATTCTATACTGCCGCAACAATATCAAGCTATCCAGTTGATACATCTTTCCCGTGTTAAATTGTAATTTACAATGAATATCCACTGTCTTTCTGAAAGATCTCTTCTGCCCTTTACCAAATTTTGAAAAATAATTTTTGTAATGCATGTATTTGTTTAAAGTATGAGAAGAGACAAACACGAAGAGTTTAAGTTCACTGTCTTTCATTTATGAAAATTGTGCTCGAAAAAGTATTTAATGAATTTAGAAAAACTATGTTCATTATGTATGATATTAGAAAACATGACGCATTAAGTTCCTATTTGGTTTGACTAAAATAGTTGATAAAAATTTAAATCAAGATCAATGATTTATTTTTAACCATGCTTTGTAAAATTTAAAACTTTTATCAATTTTTCAACTATATATTCATCAACTTTTATCAAAATATACTAAAATTTTGATTTTTAGAGAAGTACAGGGATTAAATTGTCTTTCAATAACACAAGGCCAGAAAGTGAATTATGCTTTCAAATCACTTTTTATCCATGTATTTTTATAGGATTTGAGAGATCCATAAAGTGTTCATGTCACGTCAACAATAAATTTTTTTTTTATCATGCCTAATGTGGATGAGAGGTTAAGTCTGTGCCTATATAATCAACATACTTATAAATTTTATAAAATGTGTGGATAAAAAGTAATTTGACCAAAAAAGAATCTAGTATTATAAAGACCTTGTCGCATATACTCTATATACTCACATTTTAAACTATCTAGAACCTATTTTTGAGAATACTATTTAGAAATCTTATTGTACTGTATAACTAAGATCATTCATGTTCTTTGAAATAGTGAATTCAATGAAATGAAAATATTGACCATTCTCAATCATATATCCAAATTCTTACAAGAAGTCTTTGATGCTTACTTTTTGGTTACAAGAACTAGGTGTTCATGATTTGCATATTCTCACGCTTTCATACATGCTACTCTATAAAGTCTTGTAACTCGTAAATTTAAAGTCGACTTCAGGAACCCTTTTCGCCACCTGTGTTCCATTCATTGACACTCAAGATCAAGTGCTGTACAAAGACAAATCGACTGTAGAAGTATTGACCCTTTGTTCTCTCATAGGCCAACATGAATTTTGGAGTAACCATACATGATGCCACATACATTTTTCAATGTGAATCTTTAGAGTAAAGATGATAGGAGATCTATCCTTTCTCCAATCCTATATGCAGATGAACCTAGTGATAAAAGAGTCTTCAAAACAGCCTCTATGCTCTGCATTACTTGTTATGTCTCTTGATGAGGGAGAAAAGTGGTGCTTTGTCTGTAAAAATTTGTCACCCATTGCATGAAACTGATTCAACCTTCCATGTAGGACTGAGAAGCCAAGATACAGCAGCTCCACCAATCAAGCCTCCTACCTGAAGTTTGGAACATATGAGAAACCGATCAAATTAGACCCAATATAAGTTCTACGACAGAATGAAGAATTTGCAAACTTCAATGTTATGGTAAAGAATGACAGAATGTCATAAAGTGAAATTCTGAACTAAAATGTTTCTTGACAGTTAATATTTGGTTACAACTGCCCTTGTTGGCTATTTTTGACAAACAAGAGACATTTGCATGAAGTAGTAAACTACCTCCCTACAAGGAATTGCATTCGTATGGTAATTTCTCTATTCACAGTTTTGAATAAAGCTCCCTGCACAAGCCCTGTACAGGGGCTCTCACATGGGGGTAGACCCCACATGTGGACTCCATGTGTGGGATCCACCCCTATGTGTGTGCATCTGTACAGACCCTCTGCAAAATGGTCTGTGCAAGTAGCACAACTGCACAGTTTTATCTCATAAATTAAGTGAAGCTATTCTAAAACAAGCTAGCACCAACCAGTAGTCATAAGAGAATTGTAAATACAAAGAAAACTATATGGGCATCTTTCTCAAACACAAAAATAAAAGCTTACTTATGAAAGCAAGTACATCAAAGTGTGAATTAACCAAATGGTCACTCAACATTGTAAAAAGTTTCCACGGGGTCACCGAACTTTAAAAATCACCCAATTCACCACTAGACTTTGCAAAAGGTTTACATGGGGTCACTGAAAATAAAAAATCACCCAATTCATTACTAAACTTTGTAAAAAGTTTTCACGGGATCACTTAACTTTGCAAAAGATTTCCTAGAGGTCACTAAAATTTTAAACTTTGCAAAAGGCTTTCACGGGGTCACTGAACTTTAGTAACCTCTGGGAAAGCTTTTGCAAAGTTCAGTAATGAATTTGGTAATTTTTAAAGTTCAGTGGTCCCGTGGAAATATTTTGTAAAGTTCAGTAATGAATTGGATGATTTTTAAAGTTCAGTGACCCCGTGGAAATATTTTACAAAGTTCAATGACCATTTGAGTAATTCACTCAAGAGAATACTATGCAATAAAAGTTAATCATACTTACGTGGCCCCAGTTATCAATGCCTTCAGATAGAAGTCCAAAAGCCTGCACGAGGAAGGTCAATTTCATTTGTGGACAAATGACAAGTAGCGAACATAACTACTGTAATTATAACTTCCAACCCAATAAACATGTTACCATCACCATCAGATTCAAGCAGCTACCCAACATTATGTAGAATAGACCACGAAAATTGATGATTAAAAGCCTAATCTGTGCCTGAAGAATGAAATATGAGCAATGGGTGTAATATGGAGACCTGGTTGAGGTCCTTAAGATGCACTATGGTTTGGATGTAGAGTATACGGTTTCACAGTCTTGATCACGTGATTGAGTTACAATAGAAATCCGTGATTTATACACCATAGTATAGGGATTGTGAATCTGAGAGACGTGAGTGGCATACCTTATTCAACATGATCACTTGTGCTATATATTTACGATATCCCTCACTGCCTTTGAACATGCCCCTGTGCCTCAGGACAAACATAGCAAAAGATCCTACCTGATTGTGCCAACAGATTAGAGCAATTAAACACACATAGAAAGGTGGAGAAACAAGGATGCAGAAAAGACTTTCCTGGTTCTGAAAGTTCAGTAGCTTTACATATAGCTTCTCATAACATTTAAATCAATAGAGTAAAGATTTTATACGAAGAAACCAGGCGTGAATAAAATTGCTGTACCTTTAGTAGATTTATACGGGTATTGAATATACAATTTGAGTTCAGAAGCTACTGCAAACATATACATGGCTGGGTAAATGATATATATTAAACTTGCATCCTGGATAATATAAATCTTCCCTCACCGACCTTCGACTCTGATTTGGCAACAGATGTTTTAGTCATACACTGGTAATCAACTTAAAAAGTCAACAAAGAAGGTAACTTGAGCTTACTAACTTCAGAATTACGATGTCCCTCACTGCCTTTGACCATGCCCGTGCCTCAGGACAAACATAGCAAAAGATCCTACCTGATTGTGCCAACAGATTTAAGCAATTAAACACACATAGAAAGATGGAGAAACAAGGATGCAGAAAAGACTTTCATGGTTCTGAAAGTTCTGTAGGTTTACATATAGCTTCTCATAACATTTAAGTCAATAGAGTAAAGATTTAATATGAAGAATCCAGGCGTGAATAAAATTGCTGCACCTTTAGCAGATTTATACAGTTATCGAATATACAAATTGAGTTCAGAAGCTACTGCAAACATATACGTGGCTGGGTAAATGATATATTAAACTTATATCCTGGATAATAGAAACCTTCCCTCACCGACCTTTGACTCAGATTTGGTAACAGATGTTTTAGTAATACACTGGTAATCAACTTAAAAAGTCAACAAAGTAGGTACTTCAGAGTTCAGGAGCTTACTAATCCAAAAATAGCTCCTGATGCGCTAACAGCAGGTGCTTTGCTGAATCAATAGCTCACAGCGACCCTGATTTTCTTTAAATGACTTATTCAGAACATTTCTGGGCAGTTTTGAGATAAGAAATGCGTTGTATATTGTAATCGTTATTAGTGTTTACTTGCTCCAGCAGAGGCGATGTATATCGTAAGGTATCTTCTAGGACCGCATATTTTCTCAACAGTAGGACCAACAGAGTTTAAAGAATAACATTGACCTGAAAAGGTGAAATTTCTTTTCAATAAACAGGTAGGGTGTCAGACTAAAAAGGCATTTAATTTGTAGTAATTCAAATCAAACCATCAGATGCACAATAGTTGCATGCAGAAAGGATGATGTAGGTAGCCTCCACCCTTCGTTTATAAGACTGTTGATCTACAAGGATAAAACTCCATAAGAATTTATATAACAAAATTCTCATTATGAATGTAAAGAATGTAGTACTGCAGTGTCAACCACAGATTCAGACGCAGGCTCCCCAAAATAAGAGCTCGACTTGTGTAAGGGCTTGTGCAATATATACTCTGCAAGTAAATTCAGAGAAAAGAATTTAATGCTAAAAAATTGTGGATAAAAATGCTCAAACAGATATTTATGAGGAGACTGCATTTGAGAGCTCTTTTTCTACGTTATCTGTATGTTTTTTCTTCCTTCCATTTTCTCTTTATCGAAGCATTGTGTAAGTGTGTGTTTGTGGAAGGGGGGGTGGGGGTTCTTGGTTCTTTGGCGGAAGGAGTTGGAAGAAGCAGCATCGAGTTTCTGATGCCAAAGAGAACTACTCGTAAAGATGGTTTTTGTCAACAAAAGTTTGAGGTAGTGATACTCACAATAATTGGCTGCAAGAAGAATATTGATCCACTGCCTTCTGTCAAATACGACTCTTCTAGATGTGTTTTGAGTATGACTTCCCAATATCATTAGGATCACTTCTAGTTTCATCTCCATTGAAGCAACATAAGCTCAAGAATGGCAAAGCATCGTGCCACCATTGAAAACCATTACATCCTGTACATTGAAGTGCCTTTTTTTACCATATATCCTTGAACTGAAGGACAACACCAAGATGAGAAATATTCTGTACAGAAGCAAAATTGAAGAGAGATTCTTCCCAGTTTTAGCAATACAATGAACTACTGATGCAACGAGAGACTCAATGCCACAACAGTAACTATTAGTAGCTTCTCACACTTTTGACAGTCACAATGGACCTAAAAGAATATGAATTTTTAGATATCCATGGATGATCAGTTCAATATGCTCACAAATCACTTAGAAACCCACACATACCTCGAATCAGAAAATATGCCACATCATTGTATAATCTAAGTCAACCACAGCTCTCGTGTAAAGAGAAAAAAAACTAATCAATATAGTTGAAAATGCACCAGCACAACATCACTATAAAAAAAGAATCTCTGTTAATTCATAACAATTTTATCTGCAATACCAAGCTAATATTACCGTGAATCGATTAATAAAAAAAGAAAGAACTTTTATTTCGTGTACTACATGTAATAAGGCATGGGAACCACGTTTTTTTTTCTGAAAACTGTGCATGTAGTGTACCTTGACAGATGAATGAAGATGGAACCCAGGTTGAAGGCGGCGGCGTTGGAGAACCGTGTTGCCAAGGCGTAGAGCGGTGGTGACGGTGATGAGGTGAATGGGTGTAGAGGGCCCACTATGGAATTGCTGGGGATATAGAACTTTGGATTGGATGGAAATCCACCCATTCCCTGTGATCTTCAATTCCACACACACACACACACAACATACAAATACAAATACAAATACAAATACAAATACGAAAACAGGACAGCAAATTCCACCCAAATTCTTCGGACAAGAAGATTTTTATTACAGCGATGACGTGTCTCAATTTAATTGGAGAAAAATAGAAATAAAGAAGAAAGGGGAAAAATTATTGAGAGAGACCCCCTTTTCCCCTTCCTTTCCATTTTTTATTTTATTTTTTATTTATTTTTTTAATTGGGATACTTTATAGTTTGGTAAAATCAAAATCGTTGTGACAAATTTATAAAAGCCTACAAAGAATACATATAAATTATAAAGCCTACAAAGAATACAATGAGACGTTCGAAAATTTAGAAAAATAATATATTTTTAAACCTACAAGAAATACGAGACATTAAAAAACCGAAAAAATACGCGAAATTTGAAATCATGTACACATATAATCAGATGTCAAATAAAACTAGATATTTGAATTGTCATGATTTCTTTTAAATATTTCTTCTTCAAGAATAATTAAAAATAGTTCTTACTGTATGTTTCAACTATACATATCACGGTCTCGAGTATGATAAAAGATGCTTTTCATCTTTGAAACTTCTAATGCATTGCTTAAGTTCTACCCCTGTAAAATAAGATTTTGGAGGAAAATGTGTTTTGAAATAGTAATTTTTTGGAGAATAAATGATCGAAAAAATAAAAATAAAAAATTTGGTTTACGTGTAACATTATTTATAAGAGGACGTGTGCTTAAAAATGCATTTCGAAAAACGTATTTTTGAAAAATGGAATCCAAACATGGCTCTGTTTCAGATTTTCTTGGTGTTTAATATTGAAGCCAAATAAGAATACCATGAATGCAAATAAAGGCGCCTACTTTTGTTTCTTAGGGCTCGTTTGATATGATATTATTTTTATTTTTGCTTTATGTAGGAAAGTTGTTGGAGGATGCTACATTAATTTTTGTTCAAAAACTAATTTTTAAAAAGCTTCATATTCCGAAAACACTTTTAGATAAAGTTCTATTGGACCAATTTTCTCTAAAAACTTTTCTAACTAGAAAAATTAGTTTTATAAAATTAGCTAATTGGGTTTAAAAGAGGCTTTTGAATCTTAAATGCTCGTTTTAGCTTTTCAAAAGCAATGCCAAATGGACACCTAGACTCGTTTGGTAGGATTTTTATTTTTGCTAATAATTTTTCTAAAAAGGTTTAATGGGAAAGTTATTTTAAGTCATTTTCCTCTAAAATTTATTTTAATCACATAAAATATTTTTAAAACATTATCCAAACAGATTTAAAAACAATTTTTTAATCTCTAAAATAATTTTGGACTTTTCAAATACGGGCTGTTAATCTCTTTTACACATTCCTCATTAGATTAATTTAATATTTTTCAATATATTTCTTGAAGGGTGATCTGATTTATGAATCCAGCTCCAAAAGCTTCATTTTTTTTTTTCCAAATTCTCGAGAATATTCGATTCCACGACAAATTGTAAACTGCTACGGATGATCTTTTATGCAGAGTCCTACCGTGAAATTCACGTGGTGAGTGTAATCCATTGAAGAGTATAAGAAAACTTACCTGCTAAAAATGCCATATAATTTTTTCGAAGTATTAAGACATCATATGCATGTATATATAGAGAGAGAGAGAGAGAACACGCTCTAGGGGATGCGCCAAGAGCGCCACATGAAGTTATCTGTCGAGTAGACAATCAAACCTTAACGTGATTTAATAAATTGTTCTTAAAAACATTTTAATCTTTGAAACGAGGTGGTTTGTAGTATCTTACCTCCCTGAACTGCGGTGCTAATCGTATTATCAAGAAAATCGATGCAAAGATTGGCCCAATTCAACACCATTCCGAAAGGCCGCCTCAGAGAGAAAAACCGAGTCCATCTCCAGTTTTCACTACTCCCCGTTTCATCACCACTTCTCTCATTATAATTTTCTTCAAAAAAATTACTATTATCATTTGATAATCCTTGCAATTCAAATCGACAAACGGGACAGTTATTGCGCCTTTGCAGCCATGGCAGAATGCATTCGGAGTGATAAAAATGTTTGCATGGCAGTTCTCTCACTTCTGTTCCAACCCCAAATTCATCCTTGCAAATGGGACATTGTGAATCGTTGGCCAAATGGTCGGCCTTCAGTGCTAACACCGGCAGGGCCTCCACTGCCGAATCAGGGGCCGGAGATGGCCCGGCAGACATGTTATTTTCAGTCAGTTGTTGGATGAGCTCATTCGAGTTCCTAGAATTTCCATGGTAGAAAGTATCAATTTATTTATCACAGAAGATAATATTGTCATCGGTCTAGGTGGTAGTGGAGCCCACTATCAAATAAAATAGAATTAAACGATGAAGTTGATATATACTTACATATTTTCATGAGGAGAAACAGGTCTTGGAGGATCAGGGCCTATAAATTGAAGCAACACATAAGCTTGGCGCCTTGCATGACTTCCGTCATCAAGATTTTGCTGTTGCCTGATTGATGGATCGAACATTTGAGCCAAGGAATCCAGTACCCTGGCCGCGGGGGATGGTTCCAGCCGTGTGTCTAAGCCAAGTCTCGGCCTTGACATGTCGAGCTCGTAACCAACTTGTCCTAAACAACGAGGACACAATATTTCAGCTGGGTTGGTGGTCCTGGTTCTTATACTTCGTTGACAATGCCGGCACCAGTAGTAATGGTATGTTCTTAATCTCTGGATTCCATTGACCATAACTCGACCGCGATTGACCATAATTGACATATTGATTAGTAGGAGAGTACGATATGATTTGAACGCAAAATTCAGCGACTAGTGGTGAAAAAAACATATCATGCGAGGTTTTATATGTATATAGATTGTGAAGAAAAGAAAGAAAGGTATGGCTTTTCAAGAATTGAAAGTTTGTTTTCTTGATTCTTCATGTCTCCTCTATCTAAAGTAAAGGATGAGTGAGAAGAAAATTGAAGGAAAATCTCATTTTCTGCAATCCCTCTTCCTTTTCAATTGTGGCAAGTCTATTCTTAAGATAACCCTTTTTCGTTTTCAACTTGAGCAAATGCATTTCCTTGTCGTTGAAACTTGATACGTGCATAATTTTTATAAATGAGTTAATGAAAAGATTTGTTGTCAAGATAAGATCCCTTTGCTTATAATTGACCACAAATGTCATATGTGCAATGAAATAATATCAAGCCAACTTGTCCAGTTTGCAAGAAAGAGATTAGAGGAGCAATATGCCTTCCATTTGATTCTCTTTTGGATCATAAAAGAGATTAGCAATCGGAAGAAAATTAAGGCACGAAATGGAAGTGAAGATTACATTATGAATGACTTATTAATCATAATTCTCCCAATTTTCATCAAAATTTTAAGAAACTAACGGAACTTAGGGTTATATTCTCACCACATTTTTTTTTAATAAATTCATCACATTTTAATTACATTAAAAAATTTTAATTGTTATTTATTATCACACTTATTCATTATCACATTTCGTTGATCACAAAATTGTGTCCTTAATCGTGATTTTCGTCCAAAAATATTGTTTACATACTTTACAATGAGGGTCAAATATTTAATCGTATTTTTTCATTATTATTTGTTTTGTTTATTTAAAAATACAATGAACAAATAAATCTTCTTACCAATTTTTATTAAAAAAAATAAATTGGAGAGAAATTATAATCCTGATTAATTTATGTTAATTTGAGAATAAGTACGATGAAAAAAGTTTGAGATATAAATAAGATAATATACAAAAGTTATGAACCTTTTATTCAATTAAAATGTAGGGTCCGTTTGATTGCAAAAAATAGAATAGAATTGCCTAGAAAACGAATTTCAGGGAATTGAATTACATAAAAATTGTTTTACTGGGAATTGTAAATTATTGTATTTGATTGGTATAATTTTTCACTTGAAAAATGTTGAAATAAAAGTATTTTTTGGTATTCGTTCGGCTTTGTTTTACATAAAAGTTGTAAATTAAAGGAATATAATTTATTGGCACTGGGAATGAAATTTGTTCCCATTGCCAAAAAAAAAAAAAAATCAAAAAAATAATTTATCTTTTGGTGTTCGTTTGACTTTGTTTTACATTAAAATTGTCAATTAAAGGGAAATATTTTTTTACAATAATTCTTAAAATTAGTTTTCATTGCCAAAAAAAATAATAATAATAATAAAATAATAAAAAAATTGAAAAAAATAAAAAAAATGCTACAGTAACTGAGAATTGCAATTCTCACCATTTTGGTGAGAATTGCAATTCCTTGAATTCATGGAATTTGGTTTATGTGGCACCAAAGATGAAATTTCATTTCTAGGGAAAAAATGGGTATCAAATAAAGTTAAATTGGAATGTGGAATTCCAATTCTATTTTCCATGAAATTCTACCTCCAATCAAACACACCCGTAGTATAATCAGTAACATCCCTACCTCCCTCATGCCCTTTCATCTAAGGATATTTAACCCGTCTTTGGGCTCCATCTTTGTAAAATTACAATTTTCGCTTTTTTATTTTCAACCATACCTTTTTTAGTGAAATAATATTATACATAATCTTAAAAGTTTTTCCTTATTTTTAAATCATGCATTCTCCAAAAAATCACTATTTCGAAAACACATTTTCCCTCAAAATTTAATTATAATGGAGCCCAAACAGATGATAACTAGACAATCGAGCTTTTGATTAATTCCATCAACTTGCCCCTTTGCCGGTTCGAGACCAGCTAACTTATGAGCCAGTCGATGTTCATTTCGACTCGTTTGTGGAGCTAGCCACGCACGCCTTATGTCATCCACTCAAAAAATGTTACAAAAGGTGTCTCACACTCGACCGTACAATCAAACCACACAACCGGTTCACCACCACAGTCCATCGCTCTCCCAATTCCATGGCGTTATCCTCACTCTCTCCGTCGCCACCGCGTGTCACCACTCACTCCTCCGCCTCCTCACTCCCCAAAATCCTCCACTCTGCCGCTTCCAACTTCTCATTTCCAGCCACTATCTACGTTGACGGCCTCTCAACCACAACCAATTCCCCGCCAGATTATAGTAAGTGGAGAACCCACGTTTCATTCTTCCCTGCTTTCTTCAACAACAAAACCAAGAACGTAGAGTCCATCAAAAAAGAGCTTCTTGAGGCAATTGCACCCCTTGATCGCGGTGCTGAAGCCACTCCTGAAGACGGGCAAAGAATTGATCAGGTTTATTTCTTTTGCTTTTTCAGCTTCTTCATTTCTTATCATTTTCTATTGAAGGATAGCAGTTTAGGGAAATCAAGGTTAACTATTTTTTTTTTTACCTTTTTAAGTATGAATAAGATAAATTTAGGATATAAATGATTTAAAATTTGAGTCCGAGTATGTTATGATATTGAATTGATGCTATGTGAGTCTTCTTTTATTTCCTTTTCTTTACTGTTTATGGAATCATTCTAAGTCATAGCTTGTAATTAAGAATATGGACTGTCTCCAGAATAATGCTGCATATGTGATTTTTCTGGATATAGTTTAAGTTTAGTTTCATCCTTTTTTATTTTCCTTCGACTTTGTTGTTAGTTAGATAGCTCGCAAACTCGAGGCAGTCAACCCAACGAAGGAGCCACTGAAGTCTAGTTTGCTGAATGGGAAATGGGAACTCATATACACGACTTCGAAATCAATTTTGCAAGTACAGGTAAAACTGCATTAAGAAGGGAATATGGATAGTAAACTTCATTTTCCCCTCAAATGATATGCTTATTTTTTGAAGCTGTTACCAGAGAGTGATTGCTTTTGAATTTTTCTTCATGACTGTGTAATTGTCGAAATTTCTCACCAATTTAACACTCTGAGCAGAGACCAAAGCTTTTGAGATCTAGAACAAACTATCAGGCAATTAACGCAGATAGACTTAGGGCTCAAAATATGGAATCGTGGCCATTCTTCAATCAGGTATCTGAATCGTTCTTTTAGCCACTCTGTGATGCATACTGTCTAATCCTACTCTACTTTCACTTTGTTCTATAAACACTTGCTCTCTTCCTCGTTCCTCCCATAGCGCACAAAAACACACAAAGCTATAAGTTCAGTTATGATCTCACGTTGCTGTATTTTTGCTGATAAGTATCACCTTGGAGCCTAGGATATTTAACATACGTATGGATTTCTTGTGCATAACAGTTTCCAGAGTTTGTTTCAATACAAAAGTCAAATCCGTAAAATCATGTGAGGCACAAAGTAGTAGATAATTCAAATATAGAATAATGGACAGTATATTAAAGGTACTTGGCAAAAAAAGTTCGTATCCTTTGCCCTCCCTACGCAAATTGTCATATCATTTCAAATTTAGCATTTGCTCCCTCTTATCAACCTTTCATTGCGAAAATGGTCCTTTCCGTCTGGTTCTATCTATTTTTTGTGAAATAGGGGTGTGCATTATAGTCTGCAGATGGCTTAATTTAGAAAGATAAAATCGTCAGTCCACTTAAGCTTATCATTTAATTTTACTATTAATAATGAAAAAGAAAAATAAAAGAGTAAAATAAATTTTTTTTTTTTTTTAAAAAAAAAAATCTTCTTCTCAAATGCCCTGCCAAAATCCATCCCTGCCCATGCCTCCACCGCCACCACGAACCCAACATTCTGTTGCCATGACTCCAGCAAACACACCCTTGATCTTAAATTCAGATGATATTTCCAAATCCAATTTTTATACACTCAATGTTAATATAAACTATTATAATCTTCTCTTTCAAGCAGTAAACTTCAGCAATCAATGGCCCAGATTTTCTCTTGTCAACCAGCCATCTTCTGTCATTTCTTCCTGTACTCCCACTGCCAAGGCTACTAAACTCCATTGTCTCTCTTTAAGCTTTTTTGCATCATTTCACCATAAGCTTTCTTCACTTCTTTAAAGAAATGCAAAGTATGAAAAGGAGTAGTTTTTTATCATATGTAAAGCACATGAAGCCAACAAATCGGAGCTGGCTGCGAGATGGTGGGCTTTGAATGTGATCTTCAAAATAGAACAAAAATGTGTTGAATGCTTTCCCCTCTCCGTGGTTTACTTCAATGCTTTCACGGACTGCTGCATCATTAATCATGCTGATTTCTTGGCCTATGACGATTATGGAAATTAGTATGAAGATAATTAAGTGTTAGAATGGTGAAATTTGAGATCAGGTTTTTTCATGTGATGGTTACTGGATTGGTGTTGGTGGTGTCTGAAAGAGGGGCTGGAATTTGGTAGTGATTGTGGGGAATTAACAGGGATAGTTTAGGAAGCAATTTTCTCTTTTTCTTTTTGCTTGTTATTTTTTATTTTATTTTTCATGGATTTTAAGTTTAGTAACAAACTGGTGGGTTTGTTGTGGTTAAGGTGGCGGTGGGTGTGGGTGTGGGGGCATGGAAGCCAGAGGCGGATTTAGGGGGGGGGGGGGGGGCGGCCCCCCCCCCAGGCGCCTCTCCTGTCCCACGCCGCCCACCCCGCCCGTCGATTTTCTTGCCCCGTTTAATTTTATTTTATTTATTTATTTATTATAATTCCAAGTTCAATAAAATATAGATAACATTCAAGTTGAACTTTTAATAAAGAATGTCCTTACTTTATCTAAATTTAAGCTTTTATTTTGGAATAAAATTATTTATAGTGTAAAATGATTTTTAGAGAATGTGTGGATAAAAAGTATAAAAAAATTATAGGTCTACATGTAAATTATATTATTAAAAAAATTGTGATAGAAAATAAGTTTAAATAAAAACGATTTTGAAATATATTGTATAGATGAACCTAAATATGTTATAATAGTTATAATTATGTAAACAAATAATTAACAAACAAT